AAACAGTTTTCCGTATTACCATTATTCATAATAATATATTGCACTTTTTTTTTAATTTTCGGTTACTAAAAAAAAACCAACATTTTTTTGAATATTTTTTTTTGTGTAAATATTTTTAATATACAAAGAAATTCGAAATCCCTGATGGCGTTCGTGAAGCATTAAAATTTTATGATCCTTTGAAAAATAAAATATGAAGAAAAAAAAAAACATTTTTTCTTTTGAAGAAAAAAGGAAGACTAATAAAGAAAGCAATAATGTCATCATTAGATTGAACAAACCTGAAGTTTTCCTCTGGTGTATCATTAAAAAGGCAAGCAAAAAAAAAAATTTATAGCTTTAAAAAGTTTATGACTTAATTTTAATGTCGAGAATTTCAAATATAGATTATTAGGATTATCACTTTAAGTGACTTACCTACTTCCTTTTTCCTTTTCGTTTTTTTTTTTTTGTAAATTCAAAAAATTTGAAGAATTTATTGAAAGTGCGGAAGAGGAAAAGAATGGAAGATAATGGAAAATAAAAATTTTTACTTGGAATATTAAAATGCATGTATTTTTTAAACTTAACTTTTCTTTTAATTTATTATGGTGCTATTTTTAATAAAATATTTTTATACAATGACGGTAAAATACTTAAAGGGATAATGAAAATTCGTAAAATTATTTAAAATGTTTGAGCGAGTAATATATGAGTAATTATTATGAATTGAAATGATAAATGTGATTTTGCATTCGTATATTATTAAAATATATTTATACGTAGGCTATATAGTTAATGATAATTATGAGATTTATGGAGAAGATTGTGTTTTACGCAGTTTAAGATTATATGTTCTTCGGAAATTTTTGTATATTCAAGAAATTCGATATTATTTTGGAAAAGTTAAATCAGATTGAATTTTTTATTAATTTGAATCATAATGGTTTAAATTTTTATCTTAACGTAATCAAATCTTAATGTTATTAATATTTTATAATTTTTTAATTTAAAAGTTCGATTTTTAACTGAAAATTTGAAACTTTACATTTAATTGCTTTTTTGACCGAATTTTCGTGCTGTTTTCATAACGTGCTGTTTTAACAATTGTCCTAACTACTACAGCATAATATAAAAATCAAGGCCAATTTATGAAGTATTATATATTATTTCGACTTATAAAAAACCCCGAATAATTCTACCCCGAGCTTATAAAACACGCAATATAAAATTTAAACTTAATTATTCAATTTTTATATCTAATTGTAGAGCAATATTTAAGTTTATTGGCAACTTTATATTGATTAAGTTTTGTGTTTCATTTCCGGTTTACTGTATGCGTTAATAAATGTTCAATCGAGACAAAGGCGCTTTTGAAAATTAACCCATTTTACTCGTAATACACATTCTTTATAATTTTTCAATGCGAGTAAATATTTCAAGAACTTTTTTAATAAATTTGGAATTAAATTAATATTTTCTAATAGAAAAAATATTGTCTACATAATTTTTACCAGAATTTCGCCCAAAGAGAAAGAAATGATGAATTTAATTTAAAGATGAAAGAAGGCATATTTATTAATCAATTTATTTGAATGTGAATAGATTTTTCTAAATGTTCGATATTTATAGAGAATGCAGCAAGTGGATAACAAGTTGTTTTAAGTATCTAGTGAGAACCATTGCTTATATACGTGAAATTTTTACTGCAATATTTAATCAGAAACATTTTTTTATATTTTTTACAATATACGTAAAAAATGTCCTTATAGCTTTACTATATTACATTATTAAAGTAAAATTATTTCTTTACTATACCCGTAAAGATTTTTTAATGATATATAAATAAAAAATTATGTAAATAAACTCGGAAAAAAAAAATAAATATACAAAATGTGTATTTCAGGTAAATGTAAAATATATTTACCTGTGTAAGTTTATTTTACTTGTGACATCATTAAATCAACTGACATATGCTACTATTATATAGTTTTCCTTTTTTTTAAATTTGTAATGCGGGAATTTTGGTCATACAATTTTAACAATATGTTATTTATTCGCTGTATACGGTTTTATTTTTTACATTATGTTTATTTAATATTATGTACTTCGTATTTATTACGAAAAGGAGAAGAAAAATATTTATGAAGTGATTATGAAAAAATTAATTGCAAAAAAAAATGTTATTATAATAAAGAAAAAATGAAAAAATGCCATGGTGTCAACGCGTAACTCGCAGCAGTGTGTATTGTCTAGTGAAAGTGTTACAGAAGATTATGAAAATCAGTTCGATTTCTTTTTCGGGAATACCTCGAAAAGTTAAGTTGATTAAACCGTCCCGCTCTCACAATCAGTTCAGCCGAACTTAAGGTACTGCTCTGCACAAACAGACAGACGAAAGTTTAAATTTAAAAATAGTTTGTTTGCACTTCCCTGGCATCGAGTAAAGCATTTCTACCAAAAACTTTACATGTGGAATTTGGCTCCACCACATTTCCTTATTGTATGCAACGCGCGGCCGGTAAATTAACTCAAACTATTATAGAAATAGTCGAGTGATCACGTCAACATTGAGATCTCTGTATGATGTATGTAAACATATCAAATACGGGAAGCATATACCTAATAGTCTCGATGATATTACTAAAACCGTGCTGCTATTATTGTTGTAATATTGCAAAAGTTGCTGCTTCGACAGATAAATTCAGTTCATGCTATAATTCGTACTCTAAACAATTTATGAAAATTCAATTAACCTAGCCAAAAAGGTTTTTCTGAGTTATTATGCTGATGAACTTTAAGACAATTCTTTTAGCTTTTTTTGTTTCCTTTTACTTAACCATACTTCTACTTACTTAACAAAAATTTTCCGTCAAATAACAAAAGTAACAAATTCCAATACTTTGAAAAAAAAATATTATTTATTTTTTATATGAGTTGCACGTTTTTTTTTTGTTTCCTTATTCCACTTGGGAGCATTAGAGCCATTCACTTAGTTTTTTAGAGATAAGCTTCAGTTTTATAAATCGTCGCATTAACTAGGCCTTGAATAGCTTGCCGTAGTCTTTTTTTATATTAAATATAAATTAAGGATGAGCCCGGCCTAGATAGCCTTAACCTATCCTATATCTAGGCTTAAAAGATATATAGATAGGGGTAATTAGTCTTATATCAGCATTCGATATTGCGTATTAAGTCAATAGGTAATACAATGTCAAGAACAATTTTAATAGTGATCTGTCCATAGTCTGAACACGAGAGCTTTCCGTTAACGAACCGATACTATAAAAAACAATATTTATATTTTTTTTAAATTCAGAATTTTGTTTAATATTTTATAAAAGTTTACATCCGAAATTTAAGCACTTACAACATTCTAACAAAGTGTTTGTTTTGGAAAGTAGACACATTCTTATTATTTTCGAATTTTCAAATTAAATACGGAAAATATTTTCATTTTTTCTGGTTAGACATTAGAAATATAAAAACAGAAAATTTGTAGAAAAATATGGCTAGCAATAAACAATTTTAAGCCCTTTCCAAAGAGCGATTAAATAGAAAAAAAAACTAAAACATGAAAATAAAATAATATAGAATCTTTAACAAGGACCTTTTTTTCATTCTCAAGGTTAAACAGCTAAATAATAACAGGGACACAAAAATAACTTGTCAAAACAACGAAACAAATGAAACATACACAAAAAAAAAATAGAAAGAGAAAAAAAAATTAGTCTAGTTGGTCACGTCTTATGTTCGAAATCCATTTTCAAATTGGGAATAATTTAGATGTAAACTAAACAATAAACATTTAACAAGGAATTGTTTTTTTTTATGTTGTTTTTTTTTGTTATACGCCGGAAGATGGAATATTTTGAATTCTATTCATTTTAATAAAACAATTCATTTCGACTTAGGAACATTTTCTTTTTTATATTGCCCAGAATAAGGAAAACGATGCTAATTGAAATGAAAATATTAAAGAAAAGTGTTGGAAAATAAATTGTGAATTCTATAAAGGAGATTTAATTTAGTTATATTATTTTCACTTTGTTTTCTTTATCAATTTGATGGGGTAATTGGGTTGTAAAAGGAAAATTTGTATTTTTTTTTATAGATTGTTAATAAAGATTTCTAATTTAATAAAATGCTTACGTTTTCTATGCATATTACATGATTTATTAGAAGATACTTTTTTGTATTAAAGAATAAAGTTTAAATGTTCGAATGAATAGTTTCTAACATTACTACAAAAATTAGTAATATAAAATATGGCTCATGAAATAGAACACGATTACAAGAAAGTAACACTTCAAACTGTTTCGGAGTAGTTGGACGTAATTTATAGATGGAAATTTGTTTTGTATGGAAATCCTATTACATATAATGTGAAGTGAAGTTATGGGCCGATGCTATTAGTAATATGTTATAAATTAGAATAATCATAGTATTCAAAATATAAAAAATTATATGATTCACCTTTTTGTTAGTATTTTTTAAAATTTTGGATTTAGTTGACTAAAATGGGAAAGAAATATAAGTATATTTACAAATGTACTCACAACATTTTCTACCGATTCACAACATTTTTGGTCGACTTTTATTGTTATAATTAAGATTTTATTTTAATTATTAGAAAACTTTCGAATGCAACATTAACCATTACTTTGAAATTTTGCAGCATACTTATTTGATATCTTTTCAATTAATGCTATCCAAAAGTCGATATGCATTGTGCATTTACATGCAACTATTCTCTTGCACCACCACAGAATGAAATTATTTTGAAGTACTTAGTTACATAATTTAATTTATGAACGTTTATAGATGTTGTGATACATTTATATTGGCATACATTTAGATTTTAGAAAAATTAATTTTTATTACTTTTATATTTATGTGTAAAATTTCATTAGAGCACTTATTTTTTGTGTAATATTCAAATTAATATTCAGGATATAGAAAACATTTTAGGTAAATCTATTAAAAATATTTGTATACACAAAATATGCTACGGCACAAACCGCCAAACAAATCCTACAAAAGATATTGCAATTAATATATGATTATTATGAGTTTGAGTATGTGTTGGCGCTGGTGTGGACGAAGTAATAAAGTTTTCAATTGTTGTCGGAAAACTTTCATCATAGTAATCAAAATCTTCAATATCTAGAGGTTTTCCGATATACTCACACATTGTTGAATTTGGCATTCGAGAATAATCATAAAATCTCATTTTTGAAATTTCGATCTAAAAAAAAATCAAAACAAAGAAAAGTTAATTGTACTTGAAATTTGGAGTGCCATTTGGAGTGTTATTAAACATGTGACACTCAATGTGTTAAGTTTGAAAAAAATTGTACTATTAAAGAAATATCAAATAGTAATATCAATCTGTTTGATATTACTACATACTTACTGGTATGGATTTATTTTGATCTTTATTTTGAATTTGTCCAATAGTTAATATAAGAGCTTTATTAACATTTATGATATCATTTTCAGATTTGCCCTCTCTTTTAACATCATAATAACATAATTTTTCACAATCAATCCAAAATTTAATCCATGGTTCTTTAGTTACCTGGTGAATTCCATACATAATATTATGCCATTTACCATCTAAAAACTGTATAATAATTGAACAATAATAAGCAAATTCTTACAATTCAAAAAACTTACATTTAATTTATTCTTTAAACGAAACTTATAAATTACATGTAGAGAATATTTTTTTATTTCAATTCTTATAATTTTATATTTAAGTTCGAAAATTACTGATAATTGAAAAATTTCATTATCCTTATCTTGTATATTAATCAATTTAAAATTTGTATTTGAGGTAATCTTATAAGGACTTAATCGAAACATGCATTCAAATGAATGCATTGATGATATATTTTGAAATTTTTTTCCAATATCAACAGAAAATAAAGCATTTTCTTGCATAGGATAGAATAATTTGCCATCTTCATAAAACATTCCTAACGATTCATTAAAATCTCTGGTAACGATATATTCACCTGATAAAGAAAATTATACAACAAAAAGAAAAATTTATAAAATTCTTAAATTCCTTTATTCAAAAATTTTATTTACTGTTAACATTGTCCAAATGTCCTCCAAAGAAAAATGAAATAAATAACAGTATAAATTTCATTTTCAAGAAATAAACTAGAGCTAAAATCAAAGATTCAGTTTTAGTTAGAAGCTTTCGGATGTGTTCCAATCTAAACTTAATATTTTACTGAAATATTTTTAGAAATGTAAGTTTTATTAATTTTTATGGTTTGATATTTTAGTTCTTTCGTTGCATAATTAAAATTTCATTATAATGCGCTTCAGTAAATAATTTGTTGGGCATAATAAATTTTGATTTCATTTGTAACACCAGAAAATTACAATAGAAGACCAATATGTAGCGGAATAATAAGATTTCTATAATAGTGTAATGCGAAATGAAGGTTTCCACTTTCTTCATTTCTGGACACATTTATAAGATTTTTAATTTGACAAAAAAATTTTTCCAAATATGGAAGGTCAAAATTTTATATAGCCAAATAATTTAGCCAAAATTGCAATCTTTTTGAGTTTTGAATTAAATGTATTCAGGCTCAGTTTTTCTGAAAATATAAGAAATTTCGAATATAAGAAATTTTAATTTGATTACAGATTTTTCGATTAGTAAACTTTAAAAATAATATTCGTAAATCTTGCTCAAAAATGTATTTTTCCAAAAAATCCCGAGAATTTTCATTTTAACTCGTTTGAAAACCTAACTCCGTTTTTAATCTTAAAATTTATCATTAGGCGAATATTATTTTGTTAAATTAAATTTTTTTATAAATTTTATTATTAGTGTGGTCGCGATTTTTTTTGCCTCTTTCCTAGACTATGACAGCGTAACAATGTCCGCAAGAATAATTATGTAATTTTTTAAAAATTGCGGAATGTTTAAGTTTACAATTATTTTTTTTTTTTTTTTGATAAAACTAAATTTTTACATAAATTTTTAAATTAAATAATAAAAAAAAATTTTATTATAAGAACTATGAGAGATAAAAAAAAAAAATTTATTCGTAAGTTTCATTAATAAACAGAATGAATCACCACCTACATATATAAAAAATATAAAAAGTTAATCTTTATCGCTTCAAGTCAGAACTGCGATAAATTTGCAATCTTTATATTTTATGTAAAAATTTTAAATATTCTAAGCTCATATAAACTGAAAACTATTGTAACAAAATATTCATGTTTATCACACAGCAAAAAAATAAGTAATATTTTCTTAAATATTTCTAAATGACTGTATTTTTATGTATTTATCCGAACTATGTCCTCAAATTAAATTAATATTCTTTTATATAAAAAAGAAAAGTTGTACACATTCTAAAATTGCCAATAATATCAATACGAATTTAAGAATTAGAATAGGTAAATGATGGCAGACCAAGAGCAACATGGAAAGTAACGTAACTTAATTTTGTTGCAACTAACCAATGGAATAAGAATCTAAACCAGTTTATAAAGGACTCGGCTGGCAGCTTCAACTAAACCTAAATCTAAAACAGCATAACTATTTTGAAATTTATTTAAATCGATTTAAATAATTGTGATTTAGCTATGATTTTTCACTCTAAACACGAAAAAAATAATTACAGATTTTATTGAGCGAATGCCAGAAAATTGAACTGACAAAAGTGATACCAGAAATTATTCTATTAAATGACATAGAACACTCCGTGAATTCATCAACTCTAGTATTAACAAAAACACACTTTTTTTAAAATACTTCCAATTGTATTTGCCTTAAACCTGTAGATTTTTCTAGTTTTTCTTTTATTTTTTTTTTAAGAAAAAGGTCGTTCAATTCATTTATGTAAATTGTAATGGTAGCCAAATTTTATAAGAATGAATTTATGTCTATATGTCACTATACGGTAAACATAAAAACACAACATACATACAAATATATATTAAGAATGAAAAAAATATAAAAAATAAATATTATATGAAATTAAGTCATGTATGCTGTCAAACGGTTGTTAAATCTTATATACATACAAAATTAAGTACATACATGTATGAAATGTATGAAAAAAAATTGAAAAGAAAAAAGGAGTTAAAAGAAAATTCCATTCAATTTTTCACAAAAATTTTTACAATCAGTTAAATTTAAAGCTCCCTTGTCATGTTTCGTCAATTCGTCAACTCTTATACATATATTTTTTAGAAAACCAAAAAACAAAAAAGAAAATGAACAAAAAGTTCTTTTAATGAGGTGAAGTCCGTACAAGAAATTTTAAGGATTTACGTACTCTTTTTTTCTTTTATTGCCATGTATGTATGTTTTTATACTTTTTATAACCTACTTGGATTTCGTAAATGACATCTTAAAATGTGTATGAAGAATTTTTATGGGTCATGAACTTGATATTATGCATACATGTACATATATGTATGTATGTATAAATAAGACATTATAAAATCACTACAATATACAAAATCTCCATATGAAACGTAAACATGTAAATAATAAGATGGAAGAGAAATTTTTTTTTCAGCAATTTAATTGACAATGTTGTTTTCTTTCTAACATAAATAAAAGTTTTTGAAAATACGAAAGGATTTTTATTACTTTCCCTTGTTTCCCTTGTTCCCTTGAATTTAAAGGTTTAAAATTTTGAAAAAAATTTTTGTTGTTTGTTTTTATAAGCTCAAAAGATTTTATGAAAGTTCACACATTAATTTTAATAAAAAAAAATAAAGTTGGGTCAAACCAATGATTTGTAATGTAGAACTTTTGCCTTCAACAAGTAAAAATACAGCTTTTAAAAATAGTCTATATACTACACAATTAAAATTACTTTCATTCACATAGGAATATTTTACAAAAATTGCAACCTTTAAGGTGAAATCTTTGAAATAAAACGAAAAAAAAAATTGAAAGAGGCGTTAGCCCAATTTTTGTAAAATATGCTCGAATTTAAGGGTTAATTGCTTAAGTTAAGAAAAATAGAAATATTTTGTAATGGTATGGCGTTTACTGTTAGCTTTCTGCATTTATGCAAATTGAAAACGCTTGCAGTTTCGGAAATATAAGGTGCCAACAATTCGAATTTTTCAAATTTCATGAGGGAATAACTTGAGAAGGGGCTTAAGAGAGGAAAAAATTCTTCAAACGAAATAAACTATTTGCTATGTGTAGTAGTTGCTAAAATTTCAGGCACCTACAACATGAGGTCTAGCAGAAAAATTAAAAATACCGGAAAATTTTAACGGCCTTTTTGTTTTTTTAAAGTTTAAGTATGGTATATGCTGTGGGAGAAGAAGCCAGCCACCATTTTCTTTTGTTTGCAAAAGTTGAAGATGCTCAGATGGTTTCATTGCAAAAGATATTTTTTATATAAATGTTTCTAGTAAAAATCTATGCTAATGCACATATAAAATTTCAGCTTTCTATTTTCAAAGATGCAGAAATTTTGCAAAGAACTCCGTGGATTTATGAACGGACGGACAGATTGAAGCTAATAAGCACTTTTTCAAAATTTGTTTTTGGAAAAAGTGCTGAAAATCCAACATACGTGCATATTTGATAAATGTAGTTTTAAATATTTTTAGATATTTTTTTAAGGATAATTAAACGACATGTGTCAAATGATAATCTTTGTAATCCCAACGGGTTATGAAACTATTAAAAATCAAATCACAATTTTAAAAAAAAAAAATTTTAAATTTAACAGTTAGATTAAATTTAATTTTGTTGCTTGGTTTTTCTTTCATCAAATCTTTAAAAAGCTTTTTTTTTTTTGTTTTGATTCGTTTATTAAAAGTCAATCCCTCAAACGCATAATAAATTGTAATCCTTTAAGAGAGATTAACTTCAAATAGAGCGTTTTATTTTTTTAAAGTACACTTTGATTAAAAGCATATAATGAATGTAAAAATTGTAGTAATGAAATGGTAAAATCATACAAAAACAGGTAAACAAAATATATTGAGGATTATTGAATAACGCTGATGTTGAAAAAGGATATTATGGTATAGACTGTGTATAGAGGATTAATTTATATTATTGTATAAAATCAAAATGTGTTGAAAATGTTTTGTTCACATACAAAACAAATTTTAAAATCTAAATTCTAGGCACATATTAAATTTGTTTCAATAAGAAATAAAACTTTAATTGAGAAATAGATCAAAATGTTTTGAAGAGTGAAAATTTATTTATGTGGAATAGAAAGAAAAGAAAAGTATGAAAATTTATTCATGTAGATTCAGCTTATAAAATTGTACTATGAAAACAAATGCTATACGGGCTAAATTTATTAGTATTTTAGTTACGAGAAAAATTTTAAAGAAAAAAATATTCCTTATGCTTGTAATACATTCAAACTTTGTATGGAACGCCTAATTTAAAAAATTTCAATAATTAACAATTTGCTTATTTTTAAAAATTTTCTTTGAACTGAGGAAAAGTACTGAAATTTAATGAGCAATATAAGATTTTAAATTTTTAAAAAAAATTTATTATGAAATTTTGCTAAAAAGTGGAAAAGAAATTTTTATATTTCTTCACTTGGTGCAATTGAGAACGCT